CTAAGTAAAAGAAGCCCAGCTGGGCACAGTGGTTCACGCCTATAATCCCAGCACTTTAGGAGGCCACGGCAGGTGGATCACCTGAGGTCGGGAGTTCGAGACCAACCTGGCTAACATGGTGAAACCCTGTCTCTACTAATAATACAAAAATTAGCTGGGCGTGGTGGTGCATGCCTGTAATCCCAGCTACTCGGGAGGCTGAGGCAGGAGAATCGCTTGAACCTGGGAGGCAGAGGTTGCAGTGAGCTGAGATTGCGCCATTGCACTCCAGCCTGGGTGACAGAGCGAAACTCCATCTCAAAAAAAAATTTTAAAAATATATATTTTTTTATCACTCTAAAAAATAGAGTGGTGAAAAAGATATTGTCCCTACCTTCAGTATTAGGGACAATATGAACATGTATGTGGTCAAAACAGCACAGAGGTACTCTGGCCCAGCAAGGCATGATGAGCCAGGAGTACGGTGAAAGAAGAGGTGAAGGGAATATTCCTGGGGGAGGTGAGGTCAGAGCAGAACTATGCATGTGACTAGATCAAGTAAGTGGCTAGTGAAGACTAAGTAAAAGAGGCCCGGCCAGGTGCAGTGGCTCAGTATGAAGCAGAAGATTGTATTGATTTCACTGGTCCCAGTGACTATTAAGTTTAGCTGTAACTGAAATCTACCCAGCATTAAACTCTGAGTCTGCTGTTTTAGGATTCTTAGGTTCCTCTCTGTTAGAGGAAGTGGTTCATTGCCCACGACAATGGTATCTTGTGCCTTTCTTTCCAGTTGTCATCCCGGTCTTCTGAGTTAGTTATAAACTGCCAGAATCCCAAGATTCACAGTGGTTAAAGCCAAATAAAAACTGAACTATCAGGATGCGCCCTGATCCCCACATAGGTTTCCAACCTAGAATTGTCAGAGTTTTGAGATGATGCAAATGCTCATAATTCATTGAAGCACACTGTCTGGCACACGTCTGCTTTTCAGGTGGACCTTCTTGGGACCAGAGCTTAAACTTCAAAGTGTCAGGAAGACCTCCAAGGCTCTCCTCATCCAAAAGAGATGCACCCAATACTGTCTGTCTTAATATCCTGTTTCTTTCCTTTGTTATAATTACAATAGTTGCTAATATTTTTAGCCACCTGTATTTTGTCATCTGCCCCACTATAGTAAATATTCCATGAGTATAGGGACAATATCTTTTTCACCATTCTCAGTATCCATCATCCTAACTGTCACATGGTAAGTATTTAATAGTATTTGTTGAAAGAGTAGTAAAGGATGTGGGAAGTGGTTCCAGAGGGACTTTTTTTTTTTTTTTAACACTGAGAGTAATTTAAGCATGCACAAGGACTGTGCTATGTCTTTGGGTCCTGCGTTGGTGTAAGAATTTTCTTAGATCAACATCTCTAGTTCCTTGGTCACTCAGTTCACACCCATAAAGGGGAAAGCTTGGTTATGAGCATGGAATCTTTGCATCTTGGAAGTGGAAAGTACTCTAGAGATGATCTAGTATCTAGCCTAACACATGAGGGTGGTCATCTGACCTCTGCTTAAATATTCCTGATAACAGGTTTTCTCTTATCTTTGGCAATTGATTTTATTGTTGGGCAGTTCTGATTGCTAAAAGGCCCTTCATTTTTGTTTGTTTGTTTTTGTTTTTGTTTGTTTGAGCTGGACTTTCACTCTCGTTGCCCAGGCTGGAGTGCAATGGCACAATCTCAGCTCACCGCAACCTCCACCTCCCAGGTTCAAGCAATTCTCCTACCTCAGCCTCCTCAGTAGCTGGGATTACAGGCATGTGCCACCATACCTGGCTAATTTTGTATTTTTAGTAGAGACAGGGTTTCTCCATGTTGGTCAGGCTGATCTCGAACTCCTGACCCCAGGTGATCCACCCGCCTCGGCCTCCCAAAGTGCTGGGATTACAGGCATGAGCCACCATGCCCAGCCAAAATGCCTTCCTTTTTAAGCTGAAATTTGCCTTCTTACAACTCCTGCCCCCATTCCACTGTCTGTATTCCAAAAGAGCAAATCTACCTCCAATCCTCTTCTTTTCCCATGACTGCCCACAGGGTGTTTCTCTCCCTTGACTTTTCTCCAGACGATGCCTTCCCAGGGCCTTTCCCCTTTGCCATGATCTTGAGGTTCCTCACCACCACTCTGCTCATCCTCCACCAGGAACTCTAATTGTTAAGGTCAGCTTTGCAATGTGATACTCTGAGAAGAGCTGCTTCTCACTGAAAATACATGCATAAGGGCTAGGTCCTTATCCATCTGTTTACCTCTGCATGTACCATAACTAGTATAGTGGCTGTCACACACACAAAGGGTGCTCAACAAATGTTTGTTTGATCCCAGTTGCTCCCATATCTCCAGCATATCAATAGTAAATTTTACACTGACCCTAGGAAGTTTAAGCATTTTTCATCTCCATTTTATAGATGGGCAAAGGAATCCTATAAAAAGGCAGTAATCATTGACTAATCAAGTCTTCCAGCCCCAGTCTTTGATACCTGGGCCAGTGGTTTCAAAGTCTGTTTTGTTTTACCAGTAGAACTCCTTTTTTTTTTTTTTAAAAAAAAAAAAAAAAGTTTTTGGCAAAGGTAAAATTGTGTATGAAATTTGTACACACTCCAGTGCATAAAAATTAAAACCAGAGAAGCTGGGATGAGGCCCATAGCTCTACTTACTTGGCCTCCCTGTGGAGGGCCCACAGGGCTCTGTAGAACACAGTTTGAAAGTATTGCAGTCTTCAGGCCGGCTGCGGTTCCTCACACCTATAATCCCAACACTTTGGGAGACCAAGGTGGGCAGATCACTTGAAGCCAGGAGTTCAAGACCTGCCTGGCCAACATGGCGAAATCCCATCTCTGCTAAAAATACCAAAAAAAAAAAAAAAAAATCAGTGGGGCGTGATGGCACGCACCTGTAGTCCCAACTGCCTGGGAGGCTGAGGCACAAGAATTGCCTGAACGCAGGATGTGGAGGTTGCAGTGGAGTGCAGTGAGATTGTGCCACTGCATTCCAGTCTGGGTGATAGAGTGAGACTCTGTCTCAAAAAAAAAAAAAGTATTTGCAATCTTCTATCCTGGCACTGTCCTACCAAAGAGAGCCTTGTTTGATCAGCCTTGTGAGGACTAGGACCTCCCAGAGCTTTGGAGCATGATGCTTTCAGTATATCTCGTTAGGATAAGATTTCATGACTTGCCATCAGTCCAGATTTTCAGACCCTTCAACTCAGAATCTGCATCTCAGTGTTCTTAGCATTGCTGAAAGGAAGAGACGCTGAATGGTTTGCATCAGCACCTGGTAAGCCCCTGGCTTTGTCATCATAATTATTCTTCACATCTGTTAGCTCATGTGAGGCAGACAATACTATCCCCAGTCTTAGCTGAATAAAATGAGAACTAGAAGGATGAGGTTACCCTGCTGATAAATGCAGAAATTGGATGAAATATTTTTCTTGAACTATCACAGACAGCTTAGATTTGCCACTTCAACTCCGAATGAAATACAAAATAACAATTTTTCACATTCATAAAGTTCATCCGTTTCCATTTTCTCATTTGATGTTCTCAGCATGATGGGGGATGATTTTTCCCCATTTTACACATGAAGAAACTGGTGCTTAGAGAAGACAAGCTACTTGTCTAGAATCACATACCTAGTGAAAAGCAGGAGCCCAGGTGTAGAACCCAGGTCTCCTATATCCTGGATTGGATTCCCATTCATGTCTCAAAATGGGACGCTGCTAGTCATTTATCCTGGAAAATAGGAATCAGAACCCTTATCTGCAGAAAGGAGGTGGGATATGGCTTAGGTATTATGGACCCTCAAAGACTTATCTTTTCAGAACCACTTCTAGAAAAGGGTTTCAACAATTAGCCTCCTTGATATAAAGGCAAATAGCTGTCTAATCCTAGATTTTACTTTGAGCTTATAGTTGCCAAGCAATTTTAGGTAAGTATTAGAAAGTAGTCCTTAAATCCTAAACCATCTTAACATTGAGGACTTACGGTGTGCCAGACAGTGTGCTCAAAGTTAGTGTTCGTCAGAGGCTCCGAACGAATTCCAAGCATTATCTAAACACTTGATGTCTTTGAAAAATGATAAAGGACAGTGTTATGCTCCAGTACTCAAGACACCCTCCACAAGCAGAGAATGCTGTGGCCTGGGCTGAGGAACTGATCTGGTTTGGGTAGAACCCAATCATGAGGAGTCTGCTTCGGGTTCTTTGTACAGTGATAGGGTGTTGCCGCCTGGTATTGGGCCATGGGACTGGGTAGAGAAACATCAGGGTAAGATTCCCTTTACAAGGAAAGACTTTCATAGCCATTCTTTTCTGATATTCACAAACTCCTTGGAAGAAAGGGACTGCCCATGTTGTAGATGAGGAGACTAAGATTCTCCGAGAAGCACTCTGCTGAATGGCAGAGCCAGATTATACCCCAATTCTGATCTCTATGCCCAAGCTCACCACTCATCAACCGCAGATTCCTTGAAGTGTTTCTGTAGAATAGGGCAGATACAAAATGAGAGATGGAACATAGGAGCAGATTCTTTGCAAACAAGCCTTTAACCAAGCATCAAGAAGCATTTCTGACATGTCCTGCTGGTTGAGCAGAGGGTCACCTTTTAAAGTACCCTCATCTAAGCAAATGTATCCCAGCTCTAGCATGTTGTGTCTAAGGCAGTCTCTTCCATCCTAGAATAGCTCCATTTGTTTAAGATGTTCCTTATCCAGAAAAAGCATAGGGCATCTAGACCAGAAAAAGCCTCAAAGACCATCTAGTCTAAGAGAAAGAATTTCTAAAGAGACTGAAGTCCAGAGAGTGACACTGAGCTTGAATAAGGTCACCTCATGAGAGCCACAACCATGACTGGTACACAGGCCTCCTGAGTCCCTGCCTAGGGCTTTCTCTTTTGCTGTTGCTTGCTCTACTCAAACAGGTACCTGGGAGCCAGCACTCTGGCAGTCCTTCTAAGCTCTAACTCTGGTTTTCCTGTTTTTCAGGTGAAACCTTTGTCCTGGGGAATAGTCTGGCCCGGTCCTTGGAACCACACTCAGACTCAATGGACTCTGCCTCGAATCCCACCAACTTTGTCAGCACCTCCCAAAGGCACCGGCCCTTGCTTCCATCCTGTGGCCTCCCACCAAGCACTGCCTCAGCTGTGCGCAGGCTATGCTCCAGGGGTAAGCTTACCAGAGTCCTGGCCCTCCTTCTCTCCCTCACTCTTTCCTTCACTTCCTTCCTGAGCTCTGGGAGGCCAGACAGGACCTAGTTCTGTTGCCCTCTGCCTGGTGGTGGGACTAGGGGCTGGACTTACTCTTGTGCCTGACCTTGCACCTGGGAGGTAATTGGAGCTCCAGGATTGGCTTGTGTATAACAGAAACTAAGAGCCAAAGACCTAGACCCAAAAGGAGCAGGGAAGGATTCATTCATTCATTCATCCATTAACTATTTATTTGAACTCCATCTGTGTTTGGCATGGGGAAGCAAAAATCAGTCACTTTTTGTCTTCAAGGTATTATGGGGAGACAGACACTATAAAACAATGTCTTGAGTGCAGTGACAGAGATATGCTTTGGGTAATATGAAAATTACAAGGAGGAATACCTAACCCAAGCTTGGTGTTCAAGGGACACTTTCTTGAGGAAGTGATGCTTTGCCTGAGACTGTATAAATGGCCATATCAGGGCTGGTAGAGGAGGGAGAGCTTTCGAGGAAGAGGGGCAACATGAATAAGGGCAAAAGAATAAGAAATAGCACCGATTATACTAGGAACTGCATGCAATTTGGAATTGCTCAACCATAAAGTATAATACTGAGACTCAAAGAGAAAAGCCTGGAAAGGTCAAGGCATGTATCATAAAAGACCTTAAATGGGCTTTTAATTAGAGGCAAGACAGGTTTGTGTTTTGAATAGATTATTGACTACTGTGTTGAGCATGAATTTGAGGAGGGACAAGACTAGAGAAACCTAAACAAGTTAGGAGGTTACTCGAGTGGGCCAGATCTGAAGTGACAAAGGCCTGGTTTAGGTCAGAGACCGAAGGTTTAGAGAAGAGAGAATGGATTTGAAAGCTGTTCACAAGGTAAATTTAATCAGATTTGAGGATTTAATCAGATGTGAGGAAGAAGGGAGTGAGGACTGTCTCCCAGGTTTCTAGATGTGGTGGCCAGATAGATGGTGGTACCATCCACTGAGAGAGGGAACCCACCATAGAAGAGAAGGAAGGTCGGGGAGCCCATGGTCATGTAGATGACGTCTAACAGGCAGTGACTATGTAGATCCAATCCTCAAGGAAGAGTGCTGGGCTGAAGTTAAATATTTAGGAGTCACCAGTGTATAAACAGCAGTTGAAATTTTAGGGTGAATGATACTCACTTCTCAGAAGTATGCAGTGAATGAAAATAACAGTTAACCAAAGATGAAGTCCTGGGAACCAACAAAGCTTAGGAGGTGAGAACAGGAAGGCAGGCCCACCAAGGAGAAAAAGGAATATTCAAAGTGAGAAAAATCTGATATTGTGGTGGCCAGGACTACAGAGTGTATTTGAAGGAAAGCACAGCATAACAAAGTTCTGGCAAAAAAAGGGACTGAGAAACATCTATTGGATTCCACCATTGTGGGTAATTGGTGGATCTTAGCGAAAGCAACCTTGGTGCTGTGGTGGAGGGGTGAAGGCAGATTGCATTGGGGACTTTGATGAGAAAAAAAGGCTGGTGATGAGTCAGACTCTAAGTCAAAGAAGATCTTTCAGAATGGGAGCCCTTCAAGCACATATGTCAGCAGACAGCTTGCACCTTCCAAAAAGCAGCAATTAAGAATATAGGAAAGAGGAGAAAGTAAGGCCTCAGGAGTGGTGGGATCAAGCGCATAGGCAGAGGCATCAGTCTTAAGCCAAAAGGAGGCATACTTTCTCTGAGAGAGGAGGGAAGATTGAGTGTGTCCATCAGTGAATAGAGAAAGGCCTGGTTAGGGAACAGGTTAGGAGGGCTGATAGACTGGACTAGTCTTAAAGAAGATGGGGAAAAATGGACCAAAGAAAAGGGGATGATTTGCAGGAAACCTCAGGGCCTAACTATGCTTGGAGACTAGTTGGCCAGTTTGCAAAAGCCATGGTTTTCTTCTGTGGTTCTTAGCAACCTAGTAGATATGGGATGAGAAAAGACAGCTTGAGAATTAAGGGGTTTTTTTGCCGAGCTAGTAGAGCAAGAGCTGGGAGGAAGGGGGGAGAGTATGTAAAGAAATCAGGAATCAGGAAGAGCAGTTTAAATCATCGACCACTAGATCTGGGAAGGCAGTCAGGGTGGGAAGGATACAAGGCTAAATTAGGATAGGGAAAATGGAAAGTTTGACATGCCAAAGAACTTTGTGATGTAATGGTTATAGTGGACATAAGTCCCAAGAGAGCTGAAAAGATGGAAGGTTGGGGTCAGAGAACAGGATGCTTAAAATTCTGAAGTGGATTTGTTCCAAGGGATTGCAAGGACCAGACAGTGGTGTTGGCAGTAGGTATTTGGAGTAGAGTGGAGGTGAGAGTCACTGGAGGCATGGTAGCTGAATGAATTGCCTCCAAGGATTAGAGCAGGAGTTGGGGTGGAACAGTGGGTAGTGAGCTAAGTAACAAAAAGTCTTCATTTACCAAGGGGTAGAAATCCAGATATCTATGAGTAACAGTGAGAAGGAAGAGCCAATGGTTGGGTACATGTTTGGCCTCTGAAGAACATGAGCTTTCATAGGAGGATGGTCTAAAAGCAGCAGTGGGGAGCCAGGAGAGTGTAACTTCCACACCCTGATTCCAGCCTCCTCCAGCCCAGGGACACATGAGCGAGGTGTGAAAGTATAGGAAGACTCCATTAGCAAAGCCTGCAATGAAAAAAAGTCACCTCAGCGGAGAGAGAGCTTTCAGGAAGGCTGAGTCATGGGAAGAAGCCTGTGATGCCCCTCCCCCTCCCCTAACCCCAGCAGGGCAGCAAAATGGAATCTAAAGGGGTCTCAAGTAGAGGCAGAGCTGAGGGCTGATTCTAGCCTCGGCTCCCTTGCCTTGAGACTTGGGTCAGTCATCTCACCTCTCAGGTCTTCCTCATATGCAGAATGTTCCTCATGTGCAAACTGGAGATGGTGACACCAACCTGGTCTTTCCACAGGAGTGTTAAAAGGATCAAATGAAAGAAGGGATATGGAATCATTTTGGAAACTAAATCGTTCCCCAGGTATGAGGGGAGTTACTGTTATTTTTATCTTCCCCAAGGCCCTGTTTCTGAGAAGAGTACTTTGTGATAGGCTGCCCTCCTGGCACTGGCCTCAGATGGTACTGTTGTTCCCTAGGCATCTCCTCTCTTCCTTGGAAACACACCATGAGTCTGTCTGCCAGGTCATTGTATAAATCTCTTTGCAGCCTGATGGTCTTCATAAGGCTATGAAAAGATTCATTCGGCTGGCCCTAGAATTGTCTTAAAGAATTTGGATGTTGAGTCTGTTTCCTCTCTTACTGCATTAACCAGGATGATTAGGCATGAGCTTGTTAGTTGGCCTCTTGTGGATGTGCTTCACCTTCCTTAGTCATGCTCAGACTGAGACAACAAGCCCTCCCTGAAGAGTAAGTGCCAGCTTGTACACGTTGAGGGGCGATGGGGAGAGCTTTGCCATAGGCTGTCTGCAGAGGGAATAGGAAAAGACAGGGCAAGTCACTTCCTCTCTCTTTTCACTGAATGCCCTCCCCTCTGAACTAAAGATGGTGATGATGCCTCCTTCAAGGGCTATTTTAAAGGTCAAATGAGTTGATAATGGTGGGGGTTCTTTATAATTTATAGAATATTGTTCATATATCAGGTCACTTTTTACCACTGCCACCCTGGTAGTTCATGCCACAGTGGTCTCTTGCCTGGATTGTCATAATGGCCTTTTTTTTTTTTTTTTTAAATAGTGTCTCTCACTCTGTCACCCAGTGGAGTACAGTGGCTCAATCATGGCTCATTGCAGCCTCAACCTCCTGGGCTCAAGCGATCTTCCTCTCAAGCTGCCTTCCAAGTAGCTGGGACTACAGGCATGCACCACCACACCCAGCTAAGTTTTTGCAGAGACAGAGTTTTGCCATGTTGCCCAGGCTGGTCTCAAACTCCTGGGCTCAAGCAGTCTGCCTGCCTCAGCCTCCCAGAGTGCTGGGATTATAGGCATGAGCCACTGTGCCTGGCCTAATAGCCTCCTTCTTCTTTATTTATTTTATTTTTTTGAGACAGAATCTCACTGTGTCGCCCAGGCTGGAGTGCAGTGGCACAATCTTGGCTCACTGCAACCTCCGCCTTCTGGTTCAAGCGATTCTCCTGCCTCAGCCTCCCAAGTAGCTGGGATTACAGGCGCCCGCCACTACGCCCTGCTAATTTTTTGTATTTTTAGTAGATATGGGGTTTCACCATGTTGGCCAGGCTGGCCTCAAACTCCTGACCTCATGATTTGCCCACCTTGGCCTCCCAAAGTGCTGGGATTACAGGCGTGAGCCACCATGCCTGGCCAATAGCCTCCTTCTTAACTGGTCTCTTCATGTCCCCCTGAAGTCTGTTACCAACATAGATAATGAGAGTGATCCTTCTCATTGCAAGTTGGTTCATGTAACTCCTGTGCTCAAAACCTACCTGTTTCACTCAGAAAAGCCAGTGGTTTTCCATGGTATACAGGGTCCTCTGTTATCTTCACTGCCACTTCCCTCCTCTTCCTCAACACACACATCCATGCCTCTCAGTGTTATTTTGTACCACTTTCTCTCTCATTCGCTTTCTTCTGATACATTGGCCTTCCTGCTAAATCCTACATGTGCTATTTGCTCTTCTGCCTCAAGGTCTTTGCTCAAATTTTGTCATTTCGGAGATGTCTCTCCTAATCACCATATAAATTAGCAACTTCCTACCACCTGCCCTCATGGAGTTTATATTCTAGAGGGAGTAGGCTGACAGACAAGCATACAAATATATAGTAGTATTAAATGTGTGGGTCATCTTAGTCCATTTGGGCTGCTGTCGCAAAGTTCCATGAACTGGGTGGCTTATAAACAACAATGTGTTTCTCACAGTCCTGGAGACTGGGAAGTCCAAGATCAAGGCACCAGCAGATTTGGTGTCTGATGAGGACCCACTTCCTGGTTCACAGACAGCCATCTTCTCACTGTAACCTTGTACAGCCAAAGGGGCAAGGGAGCTTTCTGCAGCCTGTTTGATAAGAGTACTAAACTCATTCATGAGGGCTCTGTCCAGAGGTCCCACCTCCTAATATATATCACCATGTAGGTGGGGAGGGGTAGGATTTCAACATAGGAATGTTGAGGGGATACATATTCAGTCAATAGCGTGTGTGTATTTATATATACTATCATATATGTGTGTATACTATCATGTATGTATGTATAGATGACACCTAGCTTCTGATTAGAGGAATTAGCTAAGATGGTCCAAGAAGGACACATTCTTGCATATACACTCTCTCCCCATATCTTCTCTCTGTTCTCCAGAGTCTCTGCACTTGGTTTCTCTCTTAGCATCACAGTAGACTTTTAAGATGGGGAGAAGTGAGTGGCTCACAGAGGCCCCTCCAGCTTTCCATCTATTAACACCTCCAAAAAGCCATTGGGATTTCTATGACTCTAAGCAGCCCCTGCTGGCTCTAGCATACCTCTCCCCTGGTCTAGTCAGTGCCCAACTATAAGCTTGAAAAGACAATATGCTAGAATCTCTGCTCTAAAAGGGGCTGGGCTGGGCTGGGCTGGGCTGGGCTGGGCTGGGCCGGGCCAAAGTGTACTTTGACTTTTTAGACCTGGGACCCAGAATGAAGACAAACGGGAGGAGATTCTCAGCCTTTGTAGGAGAGAGTTAAATATTAGGCCCTTCTACTTTAACAGGTGTGTGTGGTGGGGGGTTGTTTATTGCTTGTTTGTTTTTGAGACTGGGTCTTACTGTCACCCAGGCTGGAGTACAGTGGCATGATCATAGCTCACTGTTAACCTTGAACTCCTAGACTAAAGCCATCCTCACACCTCAGCTTCCTGAGTAGCTGGGACTATACTAGACCACCATACCCAGCTGATTTTTTTACTTGTTTTGTAGAGACAGGGTCTTGCAATGTTGCTCAGGCTGGTCTCAAACTCCTGGCCTCAAGCGATCTTCCTTGGCCACCCAAAGTGCTGGGATTCCAGCGTGAGCCACTGTGCCCAGTGTCCAGGTGTGTGTTAGCTCTGCCACTTGAGGTTGAGGGGAACAGGTAGTTTGCAACAAGGCACCTCTGGATGCTGCAGATACAGACATGAGCAAGGCAAAGACCCTGCCTCAAAAGAGACATAGTCTGGTTGGAAAGAAAAATATACAAGTAACTATTATCTGTGATCATTCATTTATCTAACAGATGTGTTTGAACATCTACTGCGGCAGACCAGGCACTCTTTTATGTGTCAGCAGCATAGCAGGGAACGAGAGAGAGCTTACATTGTATAGGGAGGAGACAGATAAGAAACATAAAATAAATTAGTCCATGAAATTATTTTACATAACGATGTGTACTGTGGTAGGAAAAAAAAAAACTAGGGTAATTGGATTGTAAAGAACTGTGTGCGGAATTGAGCATTTTTAAAGGAGATCAGGGAAGGCCTCTCTGTGGAATCAATATTTGAGGTAAGACCCAAATGTTGAGAAGTCAGGCATGAAAAGATTTGGGAAAAGAGCATTCCAGACAGAGGAAATTGCATGTCAAAGGATAAATGCTTGGCTTATTCAAGAAGCAGAAAGAAGGCTAGTGTGTTTGAAGCACGGTGAGTAAGGAGTAAGTTGCGGGCAGGGGTTGCTGAGTGAAATGAGGCCGAAGGTAGGAAGGCTCAGCTGATGGAGTGCCTCATAGACACTGGAAAGCACAGGAAGGAATTCAGATTTCATTTCATGTGCAAAGGGAGGCCACTGCATTGAGTTTTTAGAAGGGGTTGACATGGTTCAATTACTGCTCTTTTTGTTTTTGTTTCTTTTGAGACAGGGTCTTGCTCCGTCGCCCAGGCTGGACTGCAATGGCGTGATCACAGCTCACTGCAGCCTGGAACTCCTGGGATCAAACCATCTTCCTGCCTCAGCCTTCTGAGTAGCTAGGACTATAAGCATGTGCCACCATACCAGCTAATTTTTAAAAATTTTTTGTAGAGATGGGGATCTTGCTTTGTTGCCCAAGCTGGTCTTGAACTCCTGGGCTTAAGCAGTCCTCCCACGTCAGCATCCCAAAGTGCTGGGGTTATGGGCATGAGCCACGATGCCCGGCCTAATCATTGCTTTGTAAAGGCTCCTTTACTGCTTCATGGAGAACAGAGATTACTAACGTGGTGTGATGGGGGAAAATGGGCACAGAATGATCTGTAACCAAGAATATACTAAATTCTTTGTGAGACCATTTATTTCAGTATTAGATCAGAAAAGTTTCATAAAGGAACTGATCCTTAAAGCCAAGACCTGCTTAGCTGAGTTACAGTTTGCCCAAAGAAAATTAAAAATTGAAGGGAGAGAAGGGGACAGATTCCAAGCAGAGAGAGAAAAACATGTAAAAGATCTCTGACAGATGATGGTCAAAATACAGAGATCCCAAATCCCACAGGGGAAACAGGAGGAATTATATCTGAGTCAAATTTGAGATGAAAGCTCCAAGCAAAACACTAGATTAACATTGAGATTCCTGGCAGCTAAAGCAAAAACTTTTCTGGCTGGGCGTGGTGGTTCACGCCTGTAATCCCAGCACTTTGGGAGGCCAAGGCGGGCAGATCACTTGAGGTCAGGAGTTCACGACCAGCCCGGCCAACATGGTGAAACCCCGTCTCTACTAATAATACAAAAATTAGTGCATGCCTGTAATCCCAGCTACTCAGGAGGCTGAGGCAGGACAATCGCTTGAACCTGGGAGGCAGAAGTTGCAGTGAGCTGAGATGGCGCCACTGCACTCCAGGCCCTGGGTGACAGAGCGAGACTCCATGTCAAAAAAAGAAACCAAAAAAACTGTCTTCTGCCTTAGTGTATCAGGCTGTAATGAGGCCACCTATTCTCCAGGCCTTGGAAAAGAATCCAGGGTATTTTTTGCCCACGTGCCAAGGATTTGTCTCTAATCTTACCAGACTACCAGTCTCTCTAGAAATGGTCTCCCAGAGCCAAGGCAAAAACAGCCCCACTCACCAGTCCCCCCAAGGCACCCAAATAGTCCCCTTACCATGTTGGTACCACTGTCTCAGGTTTGGGCTGAATTATAGCTTTAATGCAAAATTTCTTCTGGCCATTTCCAAAAATCAGATAGACCCTTAAAAAACAAAGATTTGACTTTCCCTTTGTGAGGAAACACTTCCCTCCCTCGGCTATCTCCAGTTCCTCGGCTCATGGTCTAGCACTGCTGTGAGCATCACCTAGAAGGCCACTGAGCTGTGCCAAGAAGAGTGGTGGGGATTTACAAACCAGTCCCCGCCCATTATAGTAGGTGCCCTCCTGTCCTGTAGGGTCGGACCGATACCTGGAGAGCCGGGATGCCTCTCGACTGAGTGGCCGGGACCCCTCCTCATGGACAGTCGAGGACGTGATGCAGTTTGTCCAGGAAGCTGATCCTCAGCTTGGACCCCACGCTGACCTCTTTCGCAAACACGTAGGTGCTCCTGCCTGACCTCTCAGTAGGAACGCGTGTGGAGAGCCTCACCTGGTGGGGACAGTAGGAGATGTCTGGGGAGGAGGGATGCTTAGAGACAAAGGTTGAGGAGAACAGGTAGGCTTCAGCGTCACAGCAGGTGAACTGGACTCCCATGTGGCAGGCACTTCCCAGGATGGCCTGTAATCAGAACCTGGGGTGGTCAGACCAACCAGGACTCTGATGGCGCCTCCCCTCCACTTCTGCCCACCTCCCCACCCCCCAGGAGATCGATGGCAAGGCCCTGCTGCTGCTGCGCAGTGACATGATGATGAAGTACATGGGCCTGAAGCTGGGGCCTGCGCTCAAGCTCTCCTACCACATTGACCGGCTGAAGCAGGGCAAGTTCTGAACTGGGAGAGGCAGCCTAGACAACCAAGTGGTCAGCAGGTGGGGGCATTCTTCTAGTAATGAGGGGCATCAGCCCACCCCAGGCACCTCAGTGGGGTTCCGGGCCACCTCAGGACTCCAAGAGGCTATGTGGAGGTACCAGTCCTAGCCACAGCTGCCATGATATGTCCTTCCATGAAGGACTGAGGAGGGAGAGTGGGGATCCAGGGCTGGTGCTGCTCTTCCCTGAGCTCTGCTGGGGATCTAAGGTCCCTCTATTTATTTCTTAAGCTTGGCTGGCCTCTCAACCAGGAGTTTAGGCTGAATGCCTTCCAAGTGATGGAGGAAAAGGCCAACTTTGTCCTGGTCTTGCTGTGGCACCCCATCACCCCACAGCTCCTACCTTCTCATCAGATTCCCCTGAATCCAAACTCATGGTGCAAACCTCTACCTTTTTACAAAAAGATCTTATTGTTAATTTATTGTTTCTGGCACTTGGGCAAACCCTGTAGTTAATACTCTTTCCACACTAGACACTGGGTTTCAGGAGGAGGGAGACTGCCCTGCCTTGATCCCAGAGAGGCCTTCTCCAGATAGGCGTGGCCCCTCTTCAGAGGACCCTGAAGTGAAGAGACCCATAAAGCCTTGACCACATCACTCCATATGGGGAGAAGGATCCCTGCCACCTTCTCCTCTCTTCATGGGGCCCTTCTGCAGCCCTAGGCCTCATCTGTGGGAAGGGAGTACCTGGCCCATACTGCCCCCACCACAGCTCCTTGCCCTGGCCAGAACTGCTGTTGAAGAAGATCAGGCCGTATGATCTTAGGCCAAGAAGGCCCTAAGGGGGATGGGAGGGCAGGTTTTCCAGGCTGGAGTCGGTTCCACCCACTCTGCTGTCCATATGCTTCCTTGTAAGCAAGTCAGCAGCACAGCTGCCATCTGGACTTATTTTATGTCAATCTGTTTATAAATAAAAACCAATATAGATACCAGTGTCTTTTTAATCAGTTAACAGCCAAATCACTATGCATTCATTAGACCAGTCATTCCCCTTCTCTTGGTCTTAGTTTTCTCATATATAAAACAAGGCTGGGTGCACTGGCTCATGCCAGTAATCTCAGCACTTTGGGAAGCCAAGGTGGGAGGGTCTCTTGAACTCAGGAGTTTGAGACCAGCCTGGGCAACGTGGTGAAACCCCAGCTCTACAAAAACACAAAAATTAGCCTGCCGTGGTGGCGCATACCTGTAGTCCCAGCTGCTTGGGGAGCCGAGGTGAGGGGATGGCTTCAGCCTAGGAGATCGAGGCTGCAGTGAGCTGTATTCACACCACTGTACTCCAGCCTAGGTGACAATTTGAGACCCCATCTCAAATAAATAAAATGGTAGAGCTTGGACAAAATGATTCCTAAGTGTCCTTCTAATTCCAGCAGTCCCTAAAGAACAGGTGGTCTTCCAAATGCCTACTAGAGCCCCAGCATCACATAGGCCCCTTGGAAGGTTAGTATGTGAATCCAGTCTCCACCCTCAAAGGGCTTTGCTGCGTGCAGCTAGACAGTAGTAAGCACAGCAGCTATGCAAAGCCACAGCAGGAAGGAGCAATCTTAGGTCAGCAACTCCTACAAGCCTCAGTGGCTGGGCATGTCCTCACCTATATAGGGTGGGGAAAGATGCAGGCCAGTCCAGCCAGGTCAGGCCCGCACTGTACCGCTTGTGCTGACGAGGGGCCAGGCACACAACTCCAAGGCTACACGTTGTGTTTATAATTGGAGTACAGGGTTTGCAGGAGGAAGAGAAGGCATAGGGGGGCAGCAGGTCAGTGCAGTATAACCTGATAATAACAATAACCAACACTTTTATATCACTGTGTGCCACACGAGCTGCTTACATGAATTAGAACTCTCTCACTTACTCTTCGCAACAAACCCATTTTATGGATAAGGAAACAAGTTCAGGTCACACAGGCAGGAAGTGCCAAAGCAGGCATTTGACTGTAAGGCTGAGGTTCTAGCCAGCCCACCTATGTGCCAGGAAGCTTTGGGTGGGTCATTTCCTTTCTCTGGGCCCATCTGGCTATGAGGTATTTGCATGAGGAGACTTGTGAAGGCCCTTCCAGCTTTCACCAGTGACAAGTTCCAATATCATAACTAACTTACAGTATCTTTTCTACTTGGCCACTGTGAGGTTCTAACCATGGTCACTGTAAAACAGTCAGGGTCAAGGCAGCCGAACAAGTTGAGGCCCTCATTTTCTACCAACTCCTTGACACTGGGATTTTCTTTTCTTTTCTTTTTTTGTCTGAGATGGAGTCTCGCTGTCGCCCAGGCTGGAGTGCAGTGGCGCGATCTCGGCTCACTGCAAGCTCTGCCTCCCGGGTTCATGCCATTCTCCTGCCTCAGCCTCCCGAGTAGCTGGGACTACAGGCACCCACCACCATGCCCGGCTAATTTTTTGTGTTTTTAGTAGAGACGGGGTTTCACTGTGTTAGCCAGGATGGTCTCAATCGCCTGACCTCGTGATCCACCCGCCTCGGCCTTCCAAAGTGCTGAGATGACAGCTGTGAGCCACCGCGCCCAGCCTTTTTTTGAGTCTCGCTCCGTCGCCCAGGCTGGAGTGCAGTGGCCGGATCTCAGCTCACTGCAAGCTCCGCCTCCCAGGTTCACGCCATTCTCCTGCCTCAGCCTCCCGAGTAGCTGGGACTACAGGCGCCCACCACCTCGCCCGGCTAGATTTTGTATTTTTTAGTAGAGACGGGGTTTCACCATGTTATCCAGGATGGTCTCAATCTCCTGATCTGGTGTTCCGCCCGTCTCGGCCTCCCAAAGTGCTGGGATTACAGGCTTGAGCCACCACGCCCAGCCTTTTTTTTTTTTAAGACAGTGTCACTCTGTCGCTGAGGCTGGAGTGCAGTGGCACGATCTTGGCTCCCTGCAACCTCCGCCTCCCAAGTTCAAGTGATTCTCCTGCCTCAGCCTCCCAAGTAGCTGGGACTACAGGCGCCCGCCACCACGCCTGGCTAATTTTTTGTATTTTTAGTAGAGTTTCACCATGTTGGCCAGGCTGGTCTCGAACTCCTGACCTCAAGTGATCCGCCTGCCTTGGCTTCGCAAAGTGCTGGGATTACAGGCCTGAGCCACCACACCCAGCCAACACTGGGATCTTGTAGACTGTGCTATTCATTCAGGGTATTCCCAATAAGTACCTTGCTGAACCCTAACAACAAACTTCTAGATGTGAGCCTCAAGACACAGGGACTGAAGGTGACACTGGCATATGTAGGCAGGCCAGACATGCTGCAAAGCTGGGCACCCACCCCACCTTACCCTCTTTTCGTCAAGAGTATATAACTTACTACTGAGCACTGTTTTGAGAACTCACTGTGCTGAGTTGTTTTTGTACAGTATCCCATTGAAAACTCAGAACAGTCCTATAGTGTAACTACTGTTTCCCCATCTCACAGGTGCTTACAGAGGTTAATTCCATAGCTGTTAAGGGGTACAACACGTCCTCCTGCCTGCAACTCCCTCCCATGGGCCTTTGTCTCAGATCCAGCTACCATTCAGACTCAAGATCCCTGCAGGCTACGCTGGGCGTGGCATTTACTTTGAAGGCTGTCAGACAGGAAATGGCCTGGCTGCAGGGCAGCAGGAAGCAGCCCTCTTCAGGGGAGGAGGGCAGTCCTCGCAGAGCCTCCAGTCATCTATCGGTCATGGGAGTTATTCTCCTTGGTTGCCCAGGTGACAGCTCAGGTACAAAGGAATGAGACACATGAGGGAGAAGGGGGTTGGTTCACTGTGGCTTAGAGGCATCATTCCCCAAAGGAGCTCATATCTCTTTGAACAACTCAAGAGGCACAGCTTTCAGGGACCCCATAAGCCACATACCCAACTGAGTCATTACACATAGGAAGCCCAACATTATGGCTTTTTAACAAGTGTTTATAGTTCACACAGAAAACTCCAAGTGCAGATAATTTACAATTAGGAATCATGTTTACCATAAGTAGTGCTGCACTGAAACAGCTGACATACTTTTATCTGGTTTCCAGACAAAACTAGAAAGGTAACCGGATGTCAGGTTCTGCAGGAAGGGAGAGGATTATTCACACTGCCATAACCTCTGGGGTCAAAACTAAATGTTTAAGAAGGAAAAAAAAAAAAAAACCCTCAACTTTGGAAATTGTTTCAAAAGCCAGGCCTTCTAATAGTGACCCAGAATCATTAGCAGCACTCACACACCCAGCGCACACATGCTGCAGTGTTGGAGAGACCGTTCCATGAACCCCAGCAGTCCAGTAGCCCACCAAGTGGAAAGGCACAGGTGACAGAGGTCTCGTGGCACCAGCTTCACGTGCTCACCCTCAATGCTCGGACAGGGAGATGATACTGACTTTCCTGAGCTCAGGAGGGAAACACCAAACACTTGGGGAGGTAACAGAGATCTAGGCCCCACCTAAGGCCGAATCCATGAGAGGGCAGGGCATTTTTCTGGAACACTCTGCCCTCCCCAGCCATGGCTCCTCCCTGCCTCCTGGCCGTGGACCGCATTGTCCAGACACTCTTTGTGAGGGTCTTGTGGGACTCCCTAAGATCGATCCCTGAGGTGTAGCACTGGTGGACCAAATGGACACACTGTTCCTGCCCTCACACTGGTGCTATACTCCCTCGTTGGGAAGAGCCTGAAGGTGAATCCCTCCTTCTTTACCACCAAAACGAAAAGTGTGGGAAACCTTGAGAAAAGGGTCCCGACACTTCTTCCCTCAGGAGCCCTCAGCTTTTTGCAGCCTCTTTACCTAAGTACCCTGAGTCACTGGACATGGTCTTGCCACCACAGTCCGTCAGGGCAGCGCCACAGCTTCCAGCCTCCAGCCCAGGGGCAGTCACAGCCGAGCATCAGAACTGTGGCTCTGTGCAGTGCCAAAGCGACTGCAGGTGCCCACAGAGGCTGGCAGCCCACAGTACCCAGGGCACAGACACTAGGATGGAGCCACTCAAGTCAGAGATACTCTGCAGCAGCTGGAGCCTGGGCCCTGTCAGAAGCCAGGTGGAGATCCTCAGGCTGAAGGCAGCACACCAGGGGAGGGCTTGAGACCAAGGGAGGCTGGAGTGATGTGGGTCCCAGGACCTGAAAAGCTGTATCTGTAACTCCCCTCCCCAGAGTTCACTCTTCTTGATCGTCATTGTTCTCTCCTGCACCTGCCTGGGCTTATTCCTCTTCCCTATCCCTCTGCCCCTTGACTAACCTTCCTGGGCAAACAGCACAGACTGTGACGTGGGAGCTGTGAAGAGGGGATGGCATCCCTGCTGTGGGTTCAGGGATTGTGGCCATGTGGGCCACCCAGTGGACACTGTCCAGATAACATGAAAAGAGGCCATCCACAGCGGCTCAGCTCTCTGCCCCTCATCTTTGGGCCCCACCTCACATTCATAAAGAGGCTTAAATTCTAGGGTTTTTTCCTTCAGTTCAAAATGAGGTTTGTCAGTGAGGTCACAGACGTCCAGCAAGAGGGTTAGCGGGGTTGCTTAGCCCCCAACTCGGAACCCACCACCTCGAGCTGCCTGCAGAGGACCTATACTTTCTAATACTATGACCCAATACTAGAGAGCCAGAGACACTGTAAATAACCGTTATCTTATATTTATGTATTTAAAAGATGGTTCATAAATGTATTTAGTGCTTACCATGTCAGACAATTTTTACCCCCATCTCCAAAACGAAGTAGAACTGATATTCAGCTCACAGAAGGCTGTTAAAGGCACCAGAGAAATACGTGATGCAGTGGCTTAAAGAGACTGCCAGGAAGAGTGGGGAAAATTTCTGCACTGAAGTCAATTTGGGAAATGTCATACAGATCAGCCACTCAATAGCAAGGCCTCTAGGTAAGTAGGGAGAACGCCTCTGGTCCTGTTCAGGTGTTTCGTCTGTCAAGGTGCTTCTCCTGGCCAGCTATGTCTGCACAGTTCAACACGACTTGAGTTGGCCATCTCAAAACAGCTATAGCCTCAGTTGCTGTGAGGACACCTCACGGATGACAGAGGCAAGAAAGGCTTGAGGGAGAGGGGGTGAGGCAGGGGGAGCTTGGAGCCTTCATTCTCTAACCCTAAGAGCTGTGGACACAGAGCCGAGTCCAACCTGGCTGCTGCCTGGGCAGGCAAGGAGAGGGCACCGAACACACTCCCCCCAGAGCCTCACACTGCCACCAGTTGAGGCCTGTGCCCCTCTCTTCCCTGCACACCATAGCCTCTCTTCTTGAGTGCCCTACCCAAACTACTGCCTAGGAAACAAACATTTGGTAACATCTTCGGAAAGGCTGCTTGCAAGGAAGGCAACTTCTCTACGCTGTCAAACAGCTTCCTTAGTTGAAGCATCTAACTCTGGCCCCGTCCTTACTGCCCCCAGTCGGGGCTTTCAGAAGCAGTGTGGGCAAGTGCTGCTGGCCTTCTGCAGAATGATGAGCACTGGTCAGTCCTGTGCTGATAAAGGCTGTGTGTCCCCCATGTCTTGGTTTCTCAAACAGCAGGTAACAACCTCATCTTTCCAAAGAGATAGCTGTGCCTGACCTATTTTTCAGGGCTCTTCTGGACAGCAGCCTGCTTCCAGCACAGAGAAGGGCCTGGCCTCAGGGGGAGCCCTGGAGCCCACCATGTGCCTCCTGCTCCATCTTGGGAGCAGCAGGGCCCTGTCGGCACTCAGTAGAGCCTGGGATTGGTGACTGAAGAGGGAGGTGGAGGCTTTAGGCAGCAGCGCTGAAAGAGGTGGCAACAGATGACCTGCATGGGAACTGGGGCCTGCAGAGACATCACAGAGCGGGGGAAGTGTCTTCAGCTCTCGAATTCTGGAAGCTGTCAGGGGAAGGGAGTCCCACAGCCAAACTGCATGGTGGGTGGGCCACTGGGTCTGCTTCCAGTGTGTGGCGGGGCCCACAGGGAGCTGAGTTTTCCTGTTGGATTTCCCACACCCGGCCTGCCTGTGGCTGGCCAAGAAGGCATTGTTGAGCCTCATGAGATCACAAAGGTAGCTGTGCAGGCCCCGCCCACTTCCTATAAACCTGGTTCTGGCTGTCCCTGTGCCAGGCCTCCAAGTGCCCTGAGAGCTACCGGCCGGGGTCGGGGGGCTATGGGAGCTCAGGGCAGGCACCTCCCATGCTCCCACAGGAGCCACCAGGACATGAAGGTCATAGGCCTCTCCTCTCCTCCTCTTCCTGTTTGACCTGAATGCCGCCAGGCCGACAGCCTCAAGGATTCCATCTGAGAAGATGCAGGCTGGGTGTGTGGGGAGCAGTAGAGGGGCTGGTGTGTGCACATATGTGCACAGCTCAGGACAGAGGCTCCCTGGACTTGGGGTGGGGAGCGCCAGGGCCCCAACTCTAACCCTCGTTCTGCTCCTCTTGACCTCTGCTCTCTGGACCAAAAATGGAGGACTCATTCTAGACTAGGAGTTCTTACGGTCTAGGAGCCCCCTTAAGTTAAATGTTTATATGTAAAGGCCATTTTTCTGAGAGGCCATAGCTTTCATCAGCGTGCCGAAAAGCATGAGATCGTCTGCTCTAAAAGCCTCTGCCCCAGTGCTGCCTAGTTTCAGAGCCCCCGATGGTCTCATGTTGGGTTTTGGAGCAGGCAGAGAAGCTGCAGTGGGGCCACCAGCCAGTCCTTAGAGTCCTGGGTTAAGGCCTCTTCTCCAGGAGGCCCTTTTTAAAGGGTTTCTCTGTTGCCTGGAGGCAGGAGTGACCTTCCGGTACGCAGGAAACCCTGAGGGTACCTAGGAGGCCCCTAGCTAGTGGGTTGGGGAAGGAAGACAGGACCCCTGGGGCCACTGAAATCGTGGAGCTCTCAGAGACCTGAGTGCCGGTCCCTTCTGCCACTCTTTGGGTAGATCCCCTGTCTTCCCACAGGCCCTGTGTCTTGCTCAGTCCATCTGACTCCGCTTTCCCATCCTAGGCCTCAGGTGGGTGGCAGGCCCTTTCCTGCTTGCCCTCTGCCCTCCCTCTCTCTGGCCCTACCCAGCCTCTGCCAATCTGTGTGCCTCCCAGGAGCCGGGACACTCCCTGAGTCCTCTGGGAGCCCTTAAGCCACACTGAAAACACAGACCCTGGGAGAAGCAGCCAGCAGTGAGGAATCCTGGAACCCCTTCCCAGGGAGAGCCTTCCCATGACCCCCATGAAGAGATCGGTGCAAACACAGGTGTCAGAGCCCTTCACGGAGTCCTGGGGTGAGGAGTCCCTGCCGGAGCTCCCCACAGAGCAGTCCCTGACCGAGTACTCTGACCTCGAGGAGGCTCCCTCGGCGCACACTCTCTATGTGGGCCATCTGAACCCCCAGTTCTCAGTGCCGGTGCTCGCCTGCCTGCTGCGAGACACCCTGGAGCGGCTGGAGATGCCGGTGGCGCGGGAGCACATCGAGGTGGTGAGGCGGCCGCGGAAGGCCTATGCGCTGGTGCAGGTGACTGTCCGCAGGGACACCCTCGCCTCCCTCCCCTGGCGCCTGCAGACGGCCCTGGAGGAGCACCTAATCCTCAAGGAGCTGGCAGCCCGTGGGAAGGAGCTGCTATTGAGTGAGGCCCAAGGGCCCTTCAGCCACAGAGAGGTAAGTGGGACTTTTCCCAAGCAAGCTCCAAAGCCTCACCCCAAGGGAGAGACTCTGGGTGGGAGTGGCCTGCAGAGTGGGGACGGAGGGGTGTCTCTGGGGAAGCAGGGACAAATCTGCAAACTTGGGGGCTGCTACTCAAATGACCATGGCTTGTCACTGGTACTGCCAGCTTTCTCTGGAAAAGACACTGAGTTTGCCTCAAGCCTGATGCTTGTGTGAAGAAAGGCCACGAGGGGGCCTCCTCCTTGGGTCCTTTTACATTCCAGCCTCTGGGCCTGGGAGACCCTAGAAGACACAGGGGCCCTAATTTTCCCCTTGGCCCAACTCATTTGTTCAATTAACAATCATGAACACCCCCTCTGTGCCAGGAGTTAAGGCAGGGATGAGAGGCCCAGCCAGGCCCCAAGGAGCCCTGCATCTGTGGCCAGAGCCGGACAGCCACCCACAGAGCTGCAAGGTGGCTGCGCTCAGAGCTGTGAGAGGACACAGGAAGGTTTGCCCTGCTCTCTGGGGACAGATTCACAGGGGAAGTGAAATCCAGGCTGGGACTTAGGGCGTTGGACAGGAACTTGTGGGAGAGGACATTCCAGGCCAGGGACACAGAATATGCAGAGGAACCTGGGGACTTAGAGGGACTGTGGTGTCTGCAGAAGGGCAAACCATTTGGTGGCCCTGGAGCTCCCACTGAAGGCTGCAGGGGGTGCTAAGGAAGGAAGTTGGGCCAGAAGGTAGGGTAGGGGCCAGGTCACCAAGACTATCCAAGGCAAGGCTGAACCGTTGGCTTTACTGGGTGGGACATGGGACGTTAGGGTAGGTCACTCCACGAGACAGGTGATTTTGGTTTCTTTTTCTTTTGGTGTGAAAATGATGGTGTTTAAACTGTTGCAGAACTAAAAGGCTCTGTGGCTTACATTTCAACTCAATTTCACATTTGTATGATGTTTATCCTGTTTCTAAGACTGATCAATTCAACTTCTCTGGGGAGCTGCAGGGCTGGTAGGGAGGTGCCCTGGTCTCCTCACCCCAGCCCATGCTCATGAAAGGATTGTGAGGAGTAACAATCTGCCTTGAAGTTAGCGTCACTAAGGAGGGTTGTTGACAGGAAAGGGTGAGCCTGGAAGCAGGGAGGTCAGAGAGGGGCTGGCTGGGGAGGCCCAGACTAGGAAGTGGCCCCAAGGAGGCTCACACCGAGCCCTCGAGCAGAGCCCAAACCACGAAAGGTGATTCCGGAGGCGCAGAAGGAAGTGGAGATTAGGGTGGACTTGTCAATAGCCCAGAAAGTAGTGGGCAAAGGTTTGAAATCAGGAAGTGGGTGGGTACCTGGGAGTCCCTCTCCATTCAGGGTCCTGCAGCTCTGTCACAGGGTGCTGAGATACGTGCTGGAATGATCTGGCTCTGGGCCTCAGGGGCCTGTCTGCAACCCAAGTAAGAAAAAATGGGCCCACACGTGTCCCAGCACCCAGCCCTGGGAAGCAGAAATCTCTTCTTCCCCACCAGGCATCCCACAGCTCACCTGGGAAGGGCCCAGCTCGGCAGGGAAAGGAGCGCTGACAGGAACCCTCAATCCAGCAGGGTTTCCTGCCTCGGCTGCAGGAGGGTGGGCAGAACCAGGCCCCTCAGCCTGGTGAAGGGCATCAGGATGCCCATGAGAGTCAGGCCACAGCAGGGGCCGGATGGGGGGTTCTTGCAGTCCTTCTCAAGGTCAGGGCTCCCATTTTCTGGCTTGACCCTTACACTCATACACTCATTCTTGACTCCCACCCTAGGAGGAGGAGGAGGAGGACAGTGGCCTGAGCCCTGGCCCCAACCCAGGCTCTGGCGTCCCGCTGCCCGCCTGGCCTACACACACGCTGCCTGATAGGCCCCAGGCCTGGCAGCTGCAGAGCTGCCAGGGCCGGCCCAGTGGCGTGTGCTCCGACAGTGCCATTGTGCACCACGAGATCATGGGCAAGGACCAGCTCTTCCAGGGTGCCTTCCTGGGCAGCGAGACCCGCAACATGGAGTTCAAGCGGGGCAGCGGCGAGTACCTGAGCCTGGCCTTCAAGCACCACGTGCGGCGCTATGTGTGCGCCTTCCTCAACAGCGAGGGCGGCAGCCTGCTCGTGGGAGTGGAGGACAGCGGCCTGGTGCGGGGCATCCGCTGCAGCCACCGTGACGAGGACCGCGCACGCCTGCTGGTGGACTCCATCCTGCAGGGCTTCAAGCCTCAGGTCTTTCCCGATGCCTACACTCTGACCTTCGTCCCTGTGATCAGCACCTCGGAGACCAATGTCCCCCTCAAGGTAAGCCTGCAGGACAGGAGGGCCTCCAGGCCTGTCATCTGTCATCACTCAATAAGACGATGGCCTGCGCTCCTGCCAGGCAGTGCTGGGGCAGGGACGGGACTGGGGGCCACAGGAGAAGAGGCTGGTAATGGCCCTTGTGCCAGCCCTGCCGGCCTGCCCTAAGGAATCAGTGAGCAATGCTGAGCGGCCTGGCAGGATGGGGGCTGCCGACTGCGAAGGGTGGCGCCTCCAGAGCTGCTGTTGCCCCTCCCAAGGTGATCCGCCTGACCGTGCACACCCCCAAGGCCCAGAGCCAGCCGCAACTCTACCAGACAGACCAGGGGGAGGTGTTTCTGCGGCGCGACGGGAGCATCCAGGGCCCCTTGTCCGCCAGCGCCATCCAGGAGTGGTGCAGGCAGGTACGGAAGCTGAGGCCAGTGGGTGGGGTGGGGCGAAGCTGACCCCAGGCCCCTTCAGTCACACAGAGCAGCCCAGGGCAAGCCACCATGGTTCCCTGGGCCCTGCATCACCCCGTTTAACCCAAGGGGTTGGATTAAAATCACACCACATTCCATATTCCACTTGGTAGGCAGCTGGTGGGAAGAGGCCCAGGCCCTCTCTTTTTAAAAATCTATGCAGTGGCTGGGCTCAGTGGCTCACGCCTGTAATCCCAGCACTTTGGGAGGACGAGGCGAACAGATCACAAGGTCAGGAGTTCGAGACCAGCCTGGCCAATATGATGAAACCTCGTCTGTACTAAAAATATAAAACTTAGCCGGGCATGGTGGCAGGCAACTGTAGTCCCAAATACTCGGGAGGCTGAGTCTGGAGAATCGATCGAATCCCGGGGGCAGAGATTGCAGTGAGCCGAGATTGCACCACTGCACTCCAGCGTGAGCGACAGAGCAAGACACCTCAAAAAAAAAAAAAAATCTATGCAGTATCCCCTTTTCAGTTCAGAGGTGCCTGAAACCCCTCACCCTCTACTTGGGCAGTTAACGCACTCGATCGTGAGTGGCTGAGACAGCAGGGAGATTAGAATGTTGAGCCATCACCAGAAAACCCCAAGGACTATACACTGCATTTTAGGGGAGGCCCTAAAGGGGTGGAGGGGGCAGGACACAGTCCCAAGGAAGAGCTTTTTCAAGAGGGAAACGGAGAATGGAGGACAAGAGGGCCAACAGTGAGGAGGGACATGGCCTGCCCAGCATGCAGGAGGCTCCCTTCCAGGGTTGGCAGCCGGCAGCTTTCAACCTTCCTGGTTGAAGGTGGCAGCAGGCCAAGGGGCCTGACTTTCCCCCTAGCTGAGAAAGCTCCCAGGCTCCCGGGCTTTCCCTTCCTCCCTCAGTTCGGCCTCAGGTGGAGGGGAGGATGGACAGGCCCAAGACCAGGTGGGCTTGGCCACATGCTTTTCCCATGTCCCCTCAGAGGTGGCTGGTGGAGCTGGGCAAGCTGGAAGAGAGGGTGAAGGTGCTGACGATGGAGAAGGAGCAGCTCCAGCAGCAGCTGCAGCAGCACGGGCCTATGTCCTGCACCTGCTGTGTCCTGTGAGGGCCCTGGAGAACAGGCAGGATGGCGCGGCGCTCTCCACCTGAGACCCAGGAATTTCCTGTTTGAGCCTAAGGCCGACCCAGTAAAGCCCATGCAGGCTGCTGAGAGGCGGACAGGGGCTCCTTCAACATGACACAGGAGCCCATGTGGCTTCAACCCTGACAGCCCCCAGTCTGTGTAGCCAAGAAATTGCTCTCAGGCCTGTCCCCTAACGACCTTTCTTTTAGAAAGAACGTGGATTGTCCCTCTCCCTAAAACGCTCATTTGGCCCAGGCTGAGGCCTGTGACTCCAGCTGGCTGGACAGTGCCAGAAGGGAATCTGTCGTTCCAGGAAAGCCCCTCACAGATGGCGAGGCATATTTGGTGACTGTGGTTACAGGGCAAGAGGCCACCCTGCAGCCCCCACCCCTGACTTGCTGGAACTTGTGATTGTCAAAGCTCCGTTAATAAATTACATGCACCTGGGACAAGAATGGTTCTTTCTAGGACACTGGTCAGCCGGTCAGATGCTGCAGGGTCATGAGTCCCAGGCCCAGCCCACCTCTGTCCAGGAGGCAGAGAACAGACCAGAAAGGCAGGGAGCCCAGCCTCACACTCCAGTCCAGCTGTGTCTTAAAGACCAGTGCTATGCCTCTGTGCTTGTTTCTTCATCTATAAGACAGTGACAATGGCCGGGGGCAGGGGCATTTTGTCACCATCAGGCCAGTGCCCTGTGTCTATGCCAGCTGTGGCACAGGGCAGCACCTCACACTAAGGGTTTCAGTTCCTTTCCAAGACCCCTCTGGTCCAGTAAGACCATTAGCTTAAAACAAACAAAACCAGACTCCTCCTGCGGCTTCCTGCCTCTGGTTTCTCCTGCTGTCTCCACCAGCCGAGCCAGAGGCTGTAAAACCAGTTTGATCACACTCATGCTGCGCCTGTGCCCACAGCCCTCCAAAATCTCCACTTCAAGAGCAAAGCCCAAACGATGGCCTGCATGGTTCTCCACGACCTAGCCCACCCCACCTCAATGTCTTCCGCCCCTTGTGCAAGCCACTTCAGCCATGCCCACCAACGTGTTTCATTTGCACTCCTGCCTCGGGCCTCTGTGCTAGCCTGTTTCCTTTGATTCCACCTTCAAGTCCATGCTTAATTTCCCACCTATCCTATTTTAAAGACACCACCTCCCAGCACTGCCACTCCCCTGCTCACTTCCACCCTTGGTCTCCATCTATGAACTGCCATACTCTGTAGCTTGTATTTGGTGTTTCCCCCACTAAATAGCTGCTCTGGGGGACAGGGGTTTGGGTATGGCTGGCATGTGGTAGACACCCAATAAATACCTGCTGGTGAGACAATTAAGGATACTCCTAAATTTGGGGTCTGAGCCACCAGAAAATCACCAAACCGTGTTGAACAGGGCATTTCACAGGACCGGTGTTCCATAGAACACACGTCAGTTATCTCCTAAAACTTGAGACCCCTGGCCATATCCACAGAGCAGATACGGATGAGAACTTTGGAACCCCCAGCCCCTCCGCTCACCAGCCAGGTGACATCTCCTGGGCCATCACAACTGCTCTGAGACCTGGTTTTCCCACTTAGCAAAGAGCACACAACCCCTGCCTCAGCTGCCATTCATGCTGGTTCTAGGGACCAGTGTGATCACGGACACCTATACTGTGGCAGGTTCCCAGACTCCTGCTGCTCACCCCCCAAGCTGCCCCAAGGTCACCAAGGCTGCTTGAAAACTATACAAATGTGTTACTCAAGAAGGTGGAGGACTGGCGTTTCTGAGCACCTTCCACAGTCCCGATACCATTGCTAAACACTAGTCCAGGCACCACAATCCTTGGAAATGTTTTTGGGGGGAAAACAGCAGATTTCTACAAAGGAAGGGTGAAGTCAGGCTTCAGCCCAGCTGCTCCGGACTGCTAAGAACCTGCCCAGACCCCCTGGACTGAAGGAAGTTACTGAAGGGAAGTTACGCATAGCTGTGCCTATTGTTAGGTCACATTAAGAAAGGAATGAGGAATGTGACCAGCTTTCCTCCCCACCAGGGAGAAGCCTCCGGGGACGGGTCAGTAAACACTGGGCATAGGTTGCCCTCCTGTAAATCCAGCTTCAGCCCTATCCTGTCTGCCACAGGCAGGCTGGCGGGGCTGCTTGGGGTTTGCAAGCCCTGGAGAGTCATTTGGGATCTCTTTTCTTAGAAACCTTACATCTGTGGCCAGCACTTGACAACTGATCAAAGTGATCTTAAACGTAGGGGCAGGAACATAATTACTGGGAGGCTTTTTCACACCACCCGCACACCCAACCATTGTGGGGAGCCATGACGTCACCAATCGGCATGTTAGACCCTCAGTTTGGGGAATGTTTTTTTAAAAAAAAGGGCCAGATGCGGTGGCTCACACCTGTAATCCCAGCACTTTGGGAGGCCGAGATGAGCAGATCACGACAGGAGTTCGAGACCAGCCTGGCCAACATACTGAAACCCCATCTCTACTAAAAATACAAAAAAATTAGACGGGCGTAGTGGCAGGCAACTGTAATCCCAGTTACTTGGGAGGCTGAGGCAAGTAGAATCACTTGAACCTAGGAGGTGGAGCTTGCAGTGAGCCGAGATCACGCCACTGAACTCCAGCCCAGGCAACAGTGCCAGACTCCATCCCAAAAAAAAAAAAAAAAAAAAAAAAAAAAAAAAAAAGACTACTGACCAGGTGCGGTGGCTCATGTCTGTAATCCCTGCACTGTGTGAGGATCGCCCTGAGGCCAGGAGTTCAAGACCAGCCTGGCCAACACAGCGAGACCCTGTCTCTCTCTCTCTATATATAAAAAATTTAATTAGCTTGGCATGGTGACGTGAACCTGTAGTCCCAGCTACTTGGGAGGCTGAGGCAGGAGGATCTTAAGAGCCCAGGAGGTCTGCAGCAAGCCGTGCTTGTGCCACTGCACTCCAGCCTGGGCAACAGAGTGAGACCCTGACTCAAAAAATAAATAAAATTTAAAATGAAGAGTATCTTCTGGTACCACCAGGTGGGAGAAGAGGTTAGAATTATGCTCGATCAGCCTCATTCAAAGTACCATAACAAGCAGTTCTGCTGGTGAAGACAGTCTGGCCCGCGGCTCACTGGCTGTGTATATGGGGTACCCACATCCAGTGCCTGGCAGAGGAGACGACCACCTTCCTAAACCATGCTTATCCCTCCCCTTTCTCAGTCATGAAGCAGTATAAACAGCACCCATGCACCTTTTCATCTCGCTCTACATGCTGAGAACCCGTATTTGAAGCTTTATGAAAAATTCTGGTTCCTATTAAAAAGCAAGCCTCATTTCTTAGTTTTTAAACAAATTCTCAGGTCGTCTGCTGACTCAAGGCTGCTCACCTGCAGGAGTACCCGGCACTGACAATTCAGGTGACCGCACACAGGCACACCAGCACCATGCTCAGACGCTTCCCATCTGGCCAATGACATAAACAGAATGAGAAGCAAAGCACGTCTCTTGTTCTGCATTATTTATTTATTTCTTAAGTTAGAGTACACATTGAGTCTGGCCAGAATATAGGAGCACATAGCTGTGCCTATTGTTAGGTCACATTAAGAAAATAACTTCATATTGCCCTTTCAACTGCAGTAACACCATCCTGGAAGAAAAACGTACCCTCGAGTCAAAGCTGTCTATATATGAGAGGGTTTTAGAGGAAGTTTCCCCAAAAGACTCTGTTCTGTAAGTGACCCCTTGATGCAAGGAGTGTTTCCCAGCCCTAGCAACAGGAAGCGCAGCCACAGGCATGGGGATTTTAAAATCACGCTTCAGAGACAGACATCTTGGTGTTTCATGTGACACCAAACTGATCGTCCCTTTGGATGACGAGGACCAGCCACAGTTGGCACTGAGAATCCCCCCAACTCAGGGCAGTATAGAGATTTTGTCTCTGGTTTCATGGCTTAGTGGCAAGCAAAACCCTGAGGTTCCCAGCACCAAGTGTTCAAATCCTAGCTAAAATCCTCTCTCCATGCTCAGTAAGTCCATGTGGCACACTTTATAACGGTCTAGGCATCCAGGGGAAAGCAACAGGCAACGCGCTAGCATCTGCAATGACGCGAGGTAGTTGAGAAACCAGGTGACCGATGGGGCACTCTGCAGCCCCACCCACCATCAGTTCCCATCCCGATGTCTGCCGCAACTCAAGAACTGCAAGGAGAGTGTCACGCAACAGGCAGACACCACGGAGGAGCCAGTACACATGATGGGACATGCAAGTGACAAGTTTCCCAAATACCTTTCCGCATAATAAAATAATCTTAATAAAAACATAATTTAAAGAAAGTGTCCAAAGCCGAGTGTAAAGTCAGAGCTGTAAACTCTACCCAAGTCTGAAGGGTCTCCTGAAGAATCATCCCTGTTTAAAAGAAAAAGAAAAAAAAAAAGTGGGAATTATATGATGTACATTAAAGTAGAAAAGTTAGAATTTCTAGTCAGCTGCCCTGGGAAACGAAGCCTGTTTTTCATGGCAGAGCAGTAGAAGGAGCCTAATAGGAATAATTAGACACTACATTTATAATTCCTACAGAATCACATTTTCAAGACCTCACACATCGACTTCTACAACCACCCAATGCAAGCATTTTTTCTCCACTGCACCTCATCACAGTGTCACTACTGGGCAATTCTCCACTTGCGAGGCAGTCAGAATTCCATGTAACAGACCAAATATCTGCCTCCTTTACTGGTAACAATTCTTGTTACACCAGCTCCTTAGACTGTGAAACAGCCTATAGCAAACCCCCTGGTCAGAGGGTTCATGAGTCCATCTGTGTTCAACGCTTACCTAGCACACAGGCTCTCCTGTCACTAACTTCTCATGCTACCCACCACCTATTTAGGCTATCCCAGGACAGGGGTCAACCAACCAAGGCAGGAGGGAAACAGCTGTGATCAGCAGATCAGACCGGCACGGACCCAGCACCAGAGACCCACTGGTGATGAACACACTGTGTGCAGGATTCAGGGAGGTCCCCCTGCCCAGGCCTTAGGGCAGGAGCGGTGGGGCCACACCCATACCCCTGGTTCTCCTTCCAGACCCCAGATTCCCAACTGACACTTCCTCATTTGATACCTCACCAGCAGAACGCGTACTGCTGCCAACACGGTCCACACAGTTATCCTAGAGGACATTTACGTTTCGTGATGGTGCCCACAGTTACTGCACTTTATGAACCTACAAGTCTTGTCACTTAAAAGGCAAACATTTGACGTCTGTTTGGCAATTGTTCCAACTTTGAAGGAATTCCAGAATAAGCAGCAATCAACAAAAAACTGTTCTCTAAGCAGTGTCAGTTTTAAAGTACTTCCTGATGAAAACCTGAGGCTCTGCAGAAATGACAAGTGCCACACTGTCATATCTGTCTCTTCCTTCAAAATCTCCAAATTTTTAGCTACGTCAAACAATAGGGCCTAAGAATTCAGACCCTCCCCACCCCCGGCCCCAGAACTGGTCAGACTGGCACCAGAATGTAGTAATCAGTATTGAGACAACTGCCCAGTGACCGTGCTCCCCAAGCTGTCATCCCCAGGGCAGGACTGGGAGGTGCACGGCAATGTGAAGGAAGGACTGCCCATTTGATACCCGCACTGACCTCACTCCTTTCTTTCTTTTCTCTCTCAACCTATGGATTATATTCAAGACCTCACCACTATCATTCCTGACAGGTAAAAATTTTCAGCCCTAAACTTCCACGATATTCTTGCAATCACAATGTGCCATCACCATTTTTTTTAAAAAACTAAAACTTTAAAATAGCACTTACACTACAAGATCAGTCATGATTTATTGATGGAAACTTCAGTTCGGTGATTTCAGAGTCAGGGGAGCTGCTTCCACTTCTGTCACTGTAGGTGTCCCTGTAGAATTCAGATGGTTTATGCATCATCTCCCACCAAAAACTCACTTTACGTCCCTGTTTTTACAGCCACAGTTCCTACAGGGACACTTGTCTGCACATGGCAGGAATTAGAAAGACTGTTTGCTACATATTTAGTATGAAACTACAGAAGGATTTCCTTCTTCTAGCTACAAAAGATATACATTCAGTCACACACCCTACCACCAACTCTGAGTACTGGTTCTGGATAAAGGTGGCAATGGGACATAAACCTCCCCGGGTTGTGGCTTACTTCCCAGGAAAAACTAGTTCCCCTTAACATGGACCAGAGGGTCCTACGCCAAGTGTGATCTGGTCAGTACCACCAGAGCTCAGATGCTGCAGAAAGGGGACCTGGCCAACACGCCAGGGAAGCACCGTGAGAAAGCTCCGGAAAAGGAGAGGAAACTTTCACCCCAGGCGCCTGTGGCTTTTTTTTTTATGACTGACTGTGACATTTTGCTGTAATGAATCAGCGACCACCTAGAGGACTAGAGAAGACGAATGGATTACTGAAGCAAAGAGTGCACCTACCTGGGTGAGAGCCTGCAGCCTTTCTGGAGGTAATGCGAGAGCCGCCCCACAGAGGCCAGGAGGAGGCCAAAGTATGGTGGGGAGGGCTTGATAGGTCTGGACAGGAACTCAGGGTGGTACTGAACACCAACAAAAAAGGGATGATCTGAAACAGACTCAAAAGAAACAGCTTCATTGTGAAGGTTATGCACAAAGTGCAAAAGAACAAAATCTGCTTAAATGTTTCCTGTTTCCATAGGCCCTAAAATAATCTGAAAATGACTTTCTCATTTCAATTTAGGTAAAGGTAACCTCAAAGCATGAGTGATCTGACACCCTTTCTCCAGCACTGCTTGTGCTGTCCCCTCCTGGCTGAAGGCCTCCTGTCCAGAGTCCCATCCCAGACCCTGGCTCCCGGGACTTCTATAGACTGAGGTCTTGCGGTTCAGGAGAGGGCTAAAGCGGCTTTAGTACCAACTCCAAGCATTTTGGAGAAGGAGAAACTGCGGCCAGAAGTTAAATGGTTCCCTGAGTAAGGCCATGTACCAGAAAGAACTTTCCAGGGTCCAGACCCCATGTTTATCAAGACCCCTTCCCTCATGAGACAGTGCTGCTTCCTAATTCTGTTAGGTCAGGAGCAACAAGATAACATTTTTGTATTTTCCCATATGCCAAGAAAACTTTACTAAGTTTTCCATTAAATAAAACTGCCCGAATAATCACCTTCTAACTCCACAATTTCCATTCTCTCTCCTTCGACATCTTGGCCAACAAACTTCAAGCCTTGTTCTTCCAAACACTTTTTCCAGACTGGATTCACCTGTTGAGGCATGAACAATAATTCTGCTGGTCTCTCAGCTCACGGTCTTTCCAGAGTACCAGGAGCAAGCTGGAATCCTCACCTCAAATCGGTGCCGGTGCCTCTCTTCCAGGTAGTCTGCGTCTCCATAGAGTTTCCCTGGCAAAACAAACGGGCTGCATGTAGAGAACTTTATCTCACAGGATGATGCATTCACAAAGACATCCTCCTTCCCACTTTACTTTTCAGCATCTACACAGCCAAGTCTTTTGAGGGCTATTTCTATGAATCTGCTAAGGTCACCTGCTCTTAACAGCACAGTTTACACTAATTCTTGGGCTTCTGACTCTTTCTGACAACACTAAAGAAAGCCATAACAGAAACAAGACTCTCACCACCACCTTCAAGCATGTGAGTGCAAACCATGGGCACTCTGCTGCTAGAAAACTGCCTTGGAAAGCAAACCAGGATGCATGAAACGGCATTATTAGAACAGAATCTACTTAGGCTGAATCATATGAAATTGCCATTTTTGTGTGACAAAAATTGCCAAACATCAGCAATTTATATGGCTGGTCTTAATAGGAAAGTAACCAATAAGGATGAATGTAACCTCACTGCCTCACTGAGTTGAGGCGCCCATGCCTGGGAGTCTGACTGCACTGCCAGTGGCGTTTCTAAGACCCACACTGCTTCTATGGCTATTACAGTGCATCCTAAAAGGGTATGAATAAGAGAGGAAAGAAAGAACTTCAAAAGCAAGAATGAAACAAAAAAAAGCCAGCCTGCTCCTCGAAGCCACGGCACCACCCTAAGACAAGTCCTGGGCGCGCAGAGCCAAAGGCTGGGCCAGCGCGAGGCAGCTCTTACTCATGACTGAGTTCTTGGTCTGGAACAGGGTTCTCCTCTTGCCCAGCCTCATGGTTCCGCCCATCTGCCCTGGGTTGTGTTCTGGCATGTCTACGACCTGGAGATGTTCAGAAAACAGACACCAACTACAGAACTCTGCTTCCGCTAGAGAGAAACCTCCCTGGCTGAGTGGGTGGCAAAGGCTTGTGAGTAGGCTCTAATTCTCCAGGCTTTCCTTATGAGACGTTTTGTCACAGGAGAAAATGCCTCCCAGTTGGCATTTGTAACCTCGGTTGGGTGGAGGCTCTGTCCTTCAGCCTGTCCTCCTGATCTGCAGACAGGACCACAGCAGCCCCTCCTCGGGCTAGTCCCGGCCCAGCACTGTGGACAGTAAACATCACATCCTCAGAAAGACTGATACAGTAGCACAGACACAGACTGGATGTGTCATAACATGTCTGTCATCATCCCAGCTAGCCCGATGACTGCTCAAAGGCAAGTGATGCAGAGTTAGCACCCTGCAGCTTAGCAAGCATCTGAGGACCGGGTGGGCCATACACTGATGGCCCAGTCCACCTCTCAGCCCAGCGTTCCCAGGCACCTTCTGACCTCCAGGCTCTCTGTGCCCTGCTCTTCCCGACCCCAAAGCCCCATGCTGCAAAATATCTGCTGGTCCACTCCTGAGGCCTTAGTATCTGCAAAGTTCAATTTCAGGTCAACAAACACACAGTGATGCTATCTAAGTGCCGTGAGATCAAGAACCTTGTCCATCTCATTTAGCACAGTGTCCATTTAGCACAGTGTCCTCGGTGACAAGGGCAGTCCCAGCACATAGTACGCATCCACATTTGCTGAATGCTGAAAAACGTAAATAAGTGCCCTTTCCTTTACATCCCTGTCACCCTGGTCTGAGAATTCAAAGGTGAATAAAGGCATCATCCCTCCTCCATGTGCGTAACAGTACAGCGGGCTGAGAATGCCATAGGCCTTTGGCGTGAAATCCAATGCAAGGTACGCCAGCCCGGAAGAGCTTTGGATACGGTTAAGCCAACCAGTGCTCCATCCCAGCAGTTCTCCCAGGACTGTGGCTGGGGATCCCATGAATTAATATGTAATAGACAGATGAAAGCAGTGAGAGCAGCAGTTAGCACACAGTAAGCACACATGCAGGCTCTCATATTAGTATCTACACCGTGTTCTAGGAGTTGAGGGGAGGAGGGATGGAGAATAATTTTAATCAGGAATCCCCTCCAGTTTCCTGGGCTGGTATCTGTCTTAAAAACTTGCTGTGGTCAATTGGAAAGATTAGGGAGGAATTACGTAATGAAAACGAAAACTTTTTCCTATCTCAGGGTTCTTTGGGATGGACTCAAGCGGTCTCACATCCTGTCTCTAATCATCAATCACGTTCATAAATGCCCCCTCCACACCCTTCTAAGCCCTGTGGAGGTTCAAACACTTGACTCACCACAGGATGACTGGTCGTAGGGTCAAACTCTGTAGAATTGGCATCTGAAATACCAAAATACTTATGAAAACAGTTACAAACAAAAGTGATTAATAGTTTCATTGCTAAGCTCTAAACACAACTTCCCTCCTCAGTTTAAGATCATTGATTATAATAAATACTGAAAAAAGCATCCCCCTGACCTCATCCCCGTACGAGATCTCACTGTTGTCCAGGCTGGAGTGCAGTGGTGCCATCAGAGCTCACTGCAGCCTTGAACTCCCAGGTTCATGCAATCCGCCGGCCTCAGCCTCCCAAGAAGGTCAAACTACAGGGGCACACTACCACATCCAGCTAATGTTTTTTCGTGTTTTGGACAGACAAAGGCTATATTGCCCAGGCTAGTCTCAAACAGCTGGGTTCAAGCAATCCTCCTGTGTTGGCCTCCCAAAGTACTGGGATTACAGGTGCAAGCCACCAGACCGGCAATAAATAGCATTTTTAATACATAAAATGCTCAGCCCACACACAGTTGATTTTTTTTCCATTAAGTATAACTCTTTCTGGAAAGTCAATCAGTACAAAATGGGGAAATTAAAACTAATGGCATAACCTAGTAATTTTTAATTAGATACTGCATCTTTACGTCAGTTTTTTTTTTTTTTTTTCCTTTTTGACAGGGTCTCACTCTGTGCCCAGGCTG